GCCGCAGCTATATATATTTTGTAAGGAGTTGTGTTTATTTTATGCCACCTACACTGCGAGACTCGATCAAAGGCACTTCTCTTTTCCGCATAAAATTTAAAATATTATTTTTAACATTTTTTTTTTTAATCCACAATAATTGGCTATTCTAAATACGTGTCAAATAAAAAAGAAATTAAATTAATGCATTACATTTTTTTTTTTAATTGTGCGACATTCGATTAAAGGCGGCACTGCCATAAAAATAACAAATTAATAATGTGTTCAACATCCAGATTTGTTTATAACTTTAAAAATTCGATTTGGCATCGATTCAACAACTTTTTGGAAACCAGGTAGTGGGATTTGGGACCATTCCTTAACCACAGCCTTTCGTAGTATAAACTCAATGGCACAGGTTTCCCCACATGTTTTCTATGGGATTCCGGTCGGGTGATCTTGCTGGCCACTCTAAAAGTTTCAAATCCCTATCCTGAAACCACTCACGACAGGTTGAAATAAGACATTTGGATCTGGTTGATGCTCCACCATCGAAATTAAATTTGATTTCATCAGAAAACACCACAGTTTGCCACTACTGGCTTCAGGACATGTGTTCTTTTGCCAAATTTAATGTGACATTTGGAGCCCGCTTCGACTTTATTTTCCTTTAACACTACTTGATAAATTTTGTTAAACACGATGTTTCGATACTTAGCTCTAAGCTTTCTCCTTAGGGTATTGTGTTTTTCCCTTTCCTAGTTTTTAACAGCATAAACACGAGTGATTTCAATCGAACTTCGCAGAGTGCATAACATAGATTTGCACTAGTTCTTAGTCGTTTTAAACAATTAAAACAAAGTAAATAATATATATAGATAACAAAAGAAGGCAGTCAAGTTTGTTCAATCAGTTTTAGCCGAGTCAAAAGGCAATCGGTTGCCAACATTGTGGCCACTTTGAGCTGTCATTTCAATTAGCCACAGCCTCTAGCTTGGCCGTTTCTCGTTAAGTGTGTATGTGTGTGTGTGTGTGTGTGTGTGTGTGTGTGTGTGTGTGCTTTTTTCGCATTCGCATTTGTGTGTATGTTAAAGTTAACGTTTTACAATAACATATTCGCATGCCGTGTGGGCTGTGCTGAGCTGCCAAACAATGAAATATAATTTGTATAATTTAAGTAAGTGCGCGGAGTCATTAGCATATTTCAGTGTGTGTTTGTGTTTTGTGTTTCTTCTGTGGGCACTCTGTGTTAGCCGCGTTTAATGAGGCTCATTAATCATGCCAAACCAATTGCCAATCGACCCAACTAATGAATGAAACACTGTCAACTCACTGACGGCTTGTCTAACTGAATGACTCACTGACAGACTGACTAACTGTCTAGCTGACTGGCTGACAAACTCACTGGCTGACAAACTCACTGACTGGCTGACTGACTGACTGACTTGACTGGGTTTGTTATGCAAATGTTGCGTTTTTTGCCACCTCCGCGACTCACGTGTCGTATGATTAATTTTTCTGTGCAAATTGACGCATTATGCAAAAGGAGTGGTGGAGAGGAATAGTTTGTAAATCGCGTGCCAGGAGTTGCATTTGATCATAATTAATGTGCAATCATCACAATCGCCACCACCACGACATCGTATACGTAATCTGTGTGAGCGTTACACAACCGAACATGAATCCAAATCAAAATGTAAGAAAACAGCGCACCACCACCACCACCAGCACCACCACTGGCCACCACTCTTAGTAGTATTGTAGTAGGTAGCGCCAATGCAGTTAAAAAACTAAAAAAAATATATAAAAAATAACCAACAATTTGCTGCCCATGTGTGGGCCGCCGGACAGAGGAGACAGCTATGAGCTATGGGACAAGCAAAGAAAAAACCACTTACAATACAAATTGTGCCAACAAACAGAGTCTGTTTTATGCTTTGTGCTTGTGCTTGTGGCTGTGTTTGTATTTGTATTTATTTGTAGGTCGCTGAGGCGGAGACTTTGGCTGCTGTTCTCGGCCAAGGGCAAGCCAGCCAAGTTGGCGAAACCACAGAACTGCACAACTTACACCCAAACAGCGAACAAGAACAAGTGGCTCAACAATGCAGCGTTCACTGGGCGTATGCGCAATGTGTGGTTCAACTAGACATCAGGCTGATACCTGTTGGTTGTTGTTTGTTGGTTGTTGGTTGTTGGCTATTTTTATGTGTATCACTTCTGCGCTAGTTGGCTCGTTGGCTTGCTATCTAGTTTGTTGGCTAGTTGTTAATTGGCACCCGCATTTGCTGTGGTCATCCGCATTTCATTCGATGCATATTGATTGGCGGCAACACAGCCAATCCAGCAGAGCGAAATTGTTGTTTGGCTAGGAATTAGTTTCCACATTGAGGTTGCTCATCATGACTGTGGTCGAAAAGAGGACCTCTAATTAATATATAAATTGTGTGTGTGTGTGTGCATATAGGATCAGGATCTGGTTAAAGAATGCGTAATTTTCTATTTAAATTTCAAGGCAGCTTTTGTATTCGCTTAAAAAGGAAGCAAGACAAATATTCCATTTTCAAACTACATTTCGAAACTCTACAACAAAATTAAAACAAACAAAGCAAAACGTGTCAATTCCGCTTTGAGTTTATCACATCTTATTTCATTTATCTGATTATTTACTCAATTTAGTTCCAGTTTGACGAGAGTTATTTAAAATGAATTATGAGCACAAGACCGTAATATGGTTCAGGACAAAATCATGGCTTATGTTAACCGAAAATATATGCATAAATATACTTACTATATATCCTTTCCTACACACACACACACACACAGACACTCACTCAGTCACTCACTCACACACACACACACACCGCGCAGCAATCAAATTAAGCTCTGGTTTTAACCAATTCAGTTCCTTTTCGAAGAGAAGCACAAGTTTGGCACATCATCAAGCCCAAAAATATCAATATTAGTACTAATATGAATACCAGAGAGTTCTGGCAGCGAAGCGCAGACTGCTCCGACTACATGATACCCATTATCCAGAATTCGTCGACATGCAGATTATATTGCAAACAACAAAAACACATTTGTTCTTCAATATTTGTACATAATTGTACACATCCTCTTAAATGTTTTGCTGGAGCACAGGGTATGCTTATAATATGCCTTGAGTTTCAAATAAAAGTTACACAAACTCAATTTTGTAAAAGCGGATTTTTAGAATGAAAAAAAAAAAAAACAGAAGAAAAAAGTGGGGGGTAAGGCGTGCATTGCAAAGGGAGGAGGGTTTAATGGGTTGGGAATAGCCTGCTGCCAGTAACAGACACTGTTTACACTCAAACACACACACACACACACACAGACTGGCAATTTGAGATGCCTTGAAATTGGCAAATATTTATCTGCCGGCATTTTGTTTTCTTCTTTCTTTTTTTTTCTTGTTGCCTGCCCACGCACGTCATCAGCCATTTTGTTGCTGCTGCCAGCTGACTGCGGACTGCCGACTGCTGGCTGTTGACTGCTGACTGCTGCCTGCTGAGTGTCGCCTGTCTTGGCCCCATCCTGTCGTGTCTCTTGGGTGTTATTGATGACAACATTAAAGGCCTTTACACTCCGTACACTACATTACATAGTTGATCAATTTCTATACTTTTATTTGAGAAAAATTACGAATTTACGGGAAAGTTGAGTCGCCTCTAAAGCAGGCAACAGCTAAACTCTAATACTCAACTGATACGAGAGAACAAATTTCATTACTATTTTCGGAATTTGAGAAAGAATTTCATTTTCTGAGAATCAGGAATTGCATATTTTGTCAATGTTTTAAGCAATGCGCAAAAAAATATTAGCAAATATTTATTTGTCTTAAATATAGAAAATATTTACCATATTTACATCATTTAAGACTGTCAATTTAGTGCAAGCCAATGAAAAATGGGCGTTTTCTTTTTCTGAGTGTACGTTTCAACTAAGGACAGCAGCAACAACAATAAAAGTCCACACAAAATATTTAAATCGCAGTTATCGCATAACTCTGAATGATTAATTACGAACACGTGAGTCGGCACGAATCTGAGCGCGAATTGTGGTTTGTTGTCCCTGTTGTTCTCGTCCGTCATGGATCGTTGTTGTTTGCGTTTGGCATGGCAAATGCTGCTTTCCTCCACACACGTTGTGTGCTGCTGCTGCTGCTGCTGCTGCTGCCCAAAGGCAAATGCAAAGAGCAACTAATGCCAAAGTGTGGGAGTTGCTAGTTTGTTGCCACGATGCTTGTTGCTGTTTACTGTTTACTGGTTGCTGGTTGCTGGTTTGTTGGTTTGTTGGTTTGCTGGCTTGCTGGTTGCTGGCTATAAGTGCTGCCTGTGGCCATGGCCAGCTGAAAGCGGCCCACACAGAGATGCCGTCGGCGCTAACGAGTTGCCCGGCGACGACAGTTCTTGTGTGCGGTTGGCCAGAACTTTAATTTTGATTCTTTTTGTTTTTCTTTAGTTTTATTTATTTATTATTTGTTTTCTGTTTTTTTGTTTTGTTTTTTTGTTTTGTTACTAACCAATTTGGTGCGGCGTCGGTGCGCTGACTTTGAAGCTGTGCCACCCGTGGACGGCCCACGCTACCGGCCAAACTACTGCTGTGCTTACTGCACATGACCATGGCCAAATGCTGTGCGGTGGCAGTGGCATTATCCCGCCTGCGGCCAGCAGCCACTTGGCTTAATTCAACTGGCGTTAAATTGTCGCCTTATTATTGCCAATCATTGCGAGCATTTGCATATGGCGTCATCCAGCTTCAACTTTATACAACTCAACCACAATCGATCTCTGTCTCTCCCTCCCTCTCCCTCTCTCCCTCTTTGATTGATCTATCTACGGAAATCGTAAAAGAAATAAAATCGAATTCCTAATTCGATTCGATTAGATTTTTTTTCTCTTTTTCTTAAGGGTTAATGTGATATTTGTTAAACGAATTAAACTTTGAATATACTTTAACTGACACATTGCATTTTGTTTTGTTTCTTTTCTGCCGTGCAGATGAGCACAAATTAAATTCTGGCTCATGGGAGGATACCTTGGCGGAACCAGAACAACAACAACAACAACAACCACAACTCCATTCACATCAACATCAAACGCAGCAGCAACCGCATCTGAGTCAGACATCGTCTTTCATTGTATCGCCCGGTCACAAGGCCAGCGTTACAACTGCACAGTTGCACAGCGCCTTTAGTCGCCGCATCGCTGAGCAACACCAACAGCAGCAGCAGCAACAGCAGCAGCAACAACAACAGCAACCACAGCAGCGGATAAAAGGCTGCCAGATCAGCCAGCAGGCAGACAGCGCCACAATTGCCGGCGGAAGCTTCAGCGCCAACGGTGGCCAGGCTGCCGTTGGTGTTGGTGTCGGAGTCGGCGTCGGTGTCGGCGTTGGTGCAAGCAGCGCGAGCAGCAGCAGCGATCGCGACACAAAATCACCGTCGCGCGGAGAGAGACGCGAGGCGCCGCAAGCCAGTCACTCCGACGAGGAGATCTTTACCGAAGAGGAGCAGACCAGCAGCAGCGTGAGTTCGTTAAGTGCCGGCAATCAGCGCAATTCGCAATTGCGTTCCACCTTCAACAAGGCCAAGCAGCATTTGTCCTTTGACAAATGGCGCACGGCTGCCAACAATTCCACCTCCGCCTCCGCCGCCGCCACCGCCGCCACCAACAACACCAGTTCCCAACACAACACAAACACTCAGTGTAGTCCCAGCGACACAAATATGATTATGCGTCGGGCCAGCGCCTGTACGATGCCCACCACCGGCACATCGGGGGGGGCATCGGGGCAGCGCGAGGATATTACAACGCCGGGTGAATCGCCGGGCGGACGTTTGTCGCGCTGGTTCTCGATACGACGCGGCTCCTCGCATCAGTACGATGTGGGTGGACGCGATGGTCGTCAGTCGATCAATGCCAGTTTCGATATACCGGATGCATCTGCCGCCGGCAGCACATCCATGCCAAAGCCAACAAATGCCGCTGGTTCAGCGATATCAGCGACGCTGGACGCCGCCTCGCCACAGAAGCTGGCCAATTTGGGCGCCAGCAAAATGATGCCCGGTGTGCCCGAGGTATGTTTGCCACCGCTCCCGCCCCCTACTCCTAATTTCCAAATATGACAAATATATTAATATATTCTTATTTCTGTTTAGTATGAGGATGATGAGAGCTCGACGGCGGGCAGCCGACGCTACGATATGGACCTGATGACACCGCCACCGGGCAGTCGGAACAATTTCGTCGCAAATATGGGTCACAGTCGGGTAACGGCGCCATTGCTGCCACCGGCGCCACAAGGCCTTTCGCAGCAGCAGATCAAGAGGCGCCTCATTTTGGCGGCCATCGTTCAAAGTGAGAACTCGTATGTGGCCACATTACAACGTCTAGTCAATGTGAGTACACTTGAAGAAAAGCAAACACAATTCTTAACTTTATGTTTATATTTTTTGTTTATTCAACAATTAATTGCACAAGCCCCACAAGCAAATGCAAAACGTTCTCGTTCTTAATTAAATAAATTAAATAATTGATTCAAGGTACATTTTTAGTTTGGCAATTTTATATTAAAGCTAAATATCTTAGTTTAAGCAATCAATTGGTTAATTTATTAAACATCTAAACTGGCTTAATTTGAGCACAATTGTAATTATCGCTCTTTGCATCAGTTCTTTTTTTATTATCAAATTCATTCCTTAAATTCGAAATGAGTTTCGCTTTTTGTCGCATTTTGACAACATTGATTTTTGCATGGCAGCGCTTTCAGCTAATTTTGTACCTGGTTAAAAGTCATTTCGGGAACTGCTCTTTAATTTTGGTTTCTGTTTTTTTAGTTGTCAATCGGTACAATTATATCGGTTTCAAACAACGACTCAATCTTCAATCAGGTTAAACACATCTTTCGCACAGAACTTGATCTGTTTCCGCTACCTTTTGGTTGGGCTCCTGCAGCTGTGCTAGGAATGTCTGTCAGCGTTGTCTGCAATGCATTCGCAGTATCGACCACATTATCCACTTTAAGAATAGCATCAACATCCACATCAGCATGTATCATTTTTCGCTCGCTTAGATTGAGCCAAAATCAGATCGGGCACGTTGACATCCGGATCGGGCTGCAGCAGCACATCCACTGCGATTGGCATCAGCATAAACAGCTCGCCAGTCACTGCGTCCCTTTGGAGTACTCCGAGCTGTGTCTCGGCCGCGACATTTATAAGATCAATCTCAATCAGGCACTCGCCATTTAACTAGCGGTCATCCTTCTCATTGTGGGTAACACACTCATTATTGGCGGCGCCCAGTTCCAGCAGATCAAAACTGTTGTGGCCAGGTGCACACAGTATGGCGTAGCTGGCTGGCATGTCCATTTGCAGAAACACTTCCACATGCCGAAATGTGTAGCTGCAAAACGATCTCGTTCTTGTCCTGGCTGAATGTATCGATCACCAGCAACATCTGATCCTTGTCCACTTTCAGAATTTCATCCTTATTATGCAATTTATTGTTTGCGCAAAGCCAAACAAGTCTCATCTAGTTGTGCAAATATAAAAATTTATATCTAAATATATCTTAAATTCCGTTGACTTTACATAATATCATCAGTTAAAACTCACGACAAACTCGGGTCTTGCTCTCAATTTTACTTGTTTGCCTTATGGAAAATTCGAATTTTGATTTTGATTTATTTTTTTCTGTGTAAGTAAAAGTATTTAGAGTCATTGAAATGAATCGAGAAACCGTTGTTGTTGTTGTTGTTGTTGTCAATCCCCTAATCGTTCTAATGGCTCTATAAACCACCACCACCGATTAATCTTAATGTTAACTCTCATGTCAACTCATTTGTTTTCTTCTTTACATGCCATCCAATTCCCACGTCATATGCCGCCACTCTCCGTCATAATTAATTCCAATATTAACACACACACACACATACACCTCAAACACACACACACACACACCTAACATGTACATTTTGATCTATAATCACACTCACACACCACCTTCACATGAAGCATCAATCATTGAACCATTCTAACCACCTTAACAAAAGAAGTAGTTGCAAAAATAGTTAAAAATACATTTTTTAAAAATAAATAAAAATAAGAAAACCCATTAAAAAAAAAAAAGAAAAAGAAAAAAAAAGAACCCCAGCATTAAAATGGCCAAGAGAGATCTTTCAACTTTCGGTAAAGAATCGACAACTGAACTGAACTAGTAATGCGACTAGCACAAAGATGAACTAATATTTCAATATGCTTTTCTATTTGGCAGGATTACAAGAAACCGTTGGAGGAGTGCAGCCCACCAGTGCTAAATCCAGTGAAGATCGCCACGCTGTTCCATTGCTTGCCGGATATTTTACACTCGCACAAGCTGTTCCGCATCTCGTTGGCAGAGTGTGTGCGTAATTGGGATCGGGATGAGAAGATCGGCGATTGTTTTGTGAGCGCCTTCGGGAAGCCGCAGCTCCTGGAGACATACTCGGGCTTCATCAACAATTTCTCGACAGCCATGGAGCTGGCCAAAATGGAGGAGAAGCGCAAATCAGCGCTTGCCGATTTCTTTAAGGTCAAACAGATCAGCGCACACGATCGGCTATCCTTCTTTGGTCTGATGGTGAAGCCCGTGCAGCGTTTTCCCCAGTTCATACTCTTTCTGCAGGATCTGCTCAAGTACACGCCGCAGGGCCATCACGATCGCATGTCCCTGCAGTTGGCCCTGTCGCAGCTGGAGCTGCTCGCCGAACTACTCAACGAGAGCAAACGCGAGGCGGAACAGTATCAGGCCTTCAAGGAGATGCTTGGCCACATTAGTGGCACCTTCAATACGCGCTCCCTAAACAGCATCAGCGGCGACAATTGCGGCAGTCGGGCCCGCTATCTGCTGCGCGAGGATAATGTCACCCACATGGAGTTCAACCAGGCCGGCTTTATAGTCAAGTGCAAGCAGCGACGCCTGCTGCTCCTCAACGACAAGGTCATCTGTGTGTCTGTGGCGCCCAAACAATCGCACGACTTTGGCGCCACCGAGAAGCTAACATTCAAGTGGATGTTCCCCGTCAACGATGTTGAGATTGTCGACAACAGCGCATCTGCCACATTATCCCGAATCTTGACAGCAGGTATGCTTTCAACATAACAATAATCGATAATTATCGATCAATTTCATTTATAACAATTATTATTATTATTATTATTTAGGTCTAAATCGTGGCGGCAGTCTCAAATCGAATGGCAGCACTGGGAATAACAGCGGCGCCGGTGGCGGTGTTTGCTATGCGAATGCAACACTCTCTGGCCATGGAAGCGTCGGACTGGGTTCACCGTTTGCCGCCGTGGATGCCCATAGCTCGCCAGCTGCACAGCTAACGAATGGTGCCGATAATTTGTGCAACGAGATGAGCACTCTGATGTTCGATTATGAGGTAATATCGCGCATCCACGATCTGGTTGGCACACTGAAGGGCAGCTACAAGGAGCTCAACTCGAATACGACACGCAATGTGCTCAATACCATACAGGGCTCCATACAGCGCAAGGATGAGGAGATGGCCTGGGTGGACTCGTGCTGTCTGCAGCTAACCGGTCGCCACAAGTCCGGCAAGGAGGAGACCTTCACATTCCAAACGCAAACGCCAAATGTGAAGAAGGAGTGGATCACCGAACTGCGGCTCGCCCAGCTGGCCCTCGATCCGAATAATTCGCCAGCGTGGGAGCGTTCGGGCTCACAGCAACATCATCCACATGCCCATCATCCGCACCCCAATGCGCATGCCCAGCAGCTACCAGGCAGTCCACAGGCAACACTGCAGCACACTCACGAGCAGCAGCTGCTTCAGGAGGCCGTCCAGCAGAAGCAGTCGCGCAAGATGCCCCTCTTTGTCAAGGCGATGCCCGTCTACCGGTCACAGCATCAAACGGAGGTGAGTTTTCTGTACCATCTGCCGTGGCATCTGCAAGTGTTCTTCCGATTTTACAACGATTTCTTCCTCCCCCCTCCACAGGTGCGCTGTGGATGCTACTACAGCATCGCCAATGACACAAAACAGAGCGGAAATGCGCGTCGCCGGCACAAACAGTTGAACTATTTGTGGATGTGCAGCAGCGATGGCACTTCATCGCACATCACCGTGCTGGCCCAGCATCCGCAGCAGGCGGGCAATTTGCGTGAGGCGGGCGCCTTTGATCTGGTGGAGACGCAGGTGTCGGCTCTGGAGTTTGTTAAGGGATTGGACCAGTGCCGGACGCGCGAGGAGCACGTCAGCCTGTTGGGTGATCTCGTCTGGCTGGGCACCGATAGCCGCAAGCTGCTCATATACTCGGCCCGTAATCCTGAACAGGAGGAACAACTGGGCAGCTACGCGGTGCCGGGCGCTGTACAGCGTATTCTCTATCACTTCGATGCCGTCTATGTTGCCCTTTCGAATGCCACTGTTCTGATCTATCGACGTGCCCACGACGGTGTCTGGCAGCTGAGAGATCCACAGCAGGTAACGCTCGGCGAAACGGGAATGGTCGTTCCCAGCATGCTGCCAATCAACATGAACATCTACGCATCGTGCGCGAATCGTGTCTATGTGCTCAATGCCCTCAATGGGGAGCTGCAGCGCAGCTTTGAGGTGCAGCACGGCGCCAGCCAGCAGGTGAACCTAATGGCGCACTCCGGCATCGGACTGTGGATCTCGCTGAAAAACTCGACAATGCTCTGTTTGTATCACACGGAGACGTTCAAGCATTTGCAGGATATCAATATTGCGTCCAGTGTGCTGCGCTACGATGCCAAAAAGGAGCAGCCGCTAAACAATAGCTCCATCTATGTGACCGCCCTGATGGCCTGCAAGGGTCTGCTCTGGGTGGGCACAAATGTGGGCATCGCTGTAACCATACCGTTGCCCCGCCTCGAGGGCGTGCCCATCATCAGTGGCGGCATCAATATGTCCTGTCACGCCCATTTTGGTCCGATCACGTTCCTCCTGCCGCTCATACCGAAAGTTTATCCGGCCTATAAGCCAACGGCAGGCGCCACCGTCTCGGCACCCTTGGTGCCAGCTGTACCGCCCAGCATGGGCGATGATCTACAGCTGCCAGCAATCGATGCCGATCCCAAGAAGCTGACCGAAACCGATCTAGACGAGTCCACCGTCGTTCTGCGTCGTGATCTGGCCAAAGCAGACGAGCAAACGACTGCGTCCCCGCCCACAGACGCCAACAATATGTTGGCACCGCCGGCGGCTTCAACGGCATCCACAGCCATTTCGTCGCCTCGCAGCTCCAAGCTGGACAAACAGCACTCGCTGGACCAGAGCCTGACGGCCAAAATACGTGCCTCGCTGGCCAATTCGCCGGCGTTTCATCGCAAACGCTTTCGGGATTTGGGCGCTGGCACCAGCGATGCCAGTTCACGGATGTCCAAGACGCTGCCGCGTGGCTTGGGCTCAGCGGCCGGTGCAGCTGGTGCTGCTGGTGCAGCTGGTCTCCACTCGTACACTGTTGCGCTGCCGCATCAAATCGAGCCGGGCATTTGTGATGTGTATGGCCTATATGGCAAGCTGATATTTGTCAAGGAGGATTACGATGCCGAGGATGGGGCACAGGGCAATCTCATGGACATGATGTACGAGGGCATGCGTCGCTCCGATCCAGAGCTGGCTGCCATACCGGGCAAGGTGTGCACCTTGGATCGACGTTTGCGTATGAAGGCGTCGCGTCCGCGATCCTTGGATCTATCGAATTGGTCGGTGGACTCGAAGTCATCCAGTTTGTACACATCATCGGGCAGCGAGGAGAGCATGGGCATCCGTCTCTTTGGCGGACGTTCCGTATCGCGGAACAGCAGCAGCGCCAGCCACAAAACCTCCGGCACCGGCAGCGATCTGGGCAACATATCCGAAAACGGCCTGATGACCACAGCCGACATACACCAGCAACAGTTGCAGCAACAGCACCAGCACCAGCATCAGCAGCAACAGCAGCAGCAGCAACAGTTGCCGTCGAACAGCACTCCGAAGTCGGAGGATGGCTTCAAGCAAATGCTCGCCCAGTCGTCTGACAAGCAGGCGGCGCCCGCCGCCGTCGCCACCTTGAAGCGCAAACAGAAGCAGAACACGAAGCAGCAACAGCAACAAAACGCGGACGGACCACGAACGGTAATCACGCTGATGGGCGGCCGCGGCTACTGGCGGCATGTGTGGTACAACAGCAGTGGCAACTCGCCGGGCCACAAGAGCGCCACGGGCACCAATTCGGGTGCGGCAGGCGCTGCATCTGGATCGGGTGCGGCTACCAGTCTGGCATCGTTGACGGCCAATTCGAACGATGCTCACATTGTGGTGTGGGAGAAAAAGTTATAATCTCAGGAGTTGGTGTGCTGCTGCACGTTGCAACAGCACCCCCACCAGCACCATCCGCCACTGACCGATTTCTGGCGCCGGGTCGGCGACCAGCGACGTGGACGTGTCCGTTTTCGTGGCACATTCACGCAACGCGATCGTGATCGCGATCGCGACCGGGTTCGGGATAGGGAACACAACAGCAGCAGTTGCGGCTGGCGGTCGGATGGTGAGCGATTGGCTGCAGCAAGCAGTAAAAGCAACAGTGGCAGCAGCGGCAGCAGCGGCAGCAGCGGCATGCTCAGCGCCAGTCTGAAGCGACTCACGAAGCTGAAGCGGGGCGGCAGCCTCAAGGAGTTCTAGTTGTAGTCATATCTGTCCAATAAACGATGTTGCGATGCCACACAAAACAAATATTAAACACAAAATGCAGCACGGCATCGGTTTGCCAAAATGTATATATACCATACATATATATATATATATATATATATATATACATCTCTTCTCATGTGTACTTTATAGGGTTAGTCTGCATATTCCAGATGGGATATGCCAGTAGAGTTGCTTGGAGCATACTTCATTCAATTTGGTATATATCAAATACTATATATAGAGCATACATTTCATTTGGTATATGTCGAATACTATATACTATATACTATATACAGCATACCTTTAGCTAGTCTTTGTCTAATACAAAGTACAGCGCCTTATTTCAATTCTCTTCATTTGTTTATTTTTTTAAGTACACGCTAGATTTAAGTGAATAAATTTTTTTTTTTTTTAAATATAATATATGAAATGAATATCCAAATATACCCTTTTTTACAGTAGTAACACTGCGTATACATATATATATATATAACTATAAGAGAGAGATAGAGATATAGAGGGAGAGAGAGAGTGGCACATCATCAATGAGAACAAAAAGGACGGCAAAGCCAAGCTACAAATGATGTATATAGATTAAGTATTTAAGTTTAATCGACGAAACTCTTAAACAGAGATACAAGCACAGATTCGCATAAGTAGTAGCTTGGCCCATAGATCGAATCGAATCAAATCAAATCGATTTCAAGCTTTCAAAGATATTGTTGTCTATTTAATCAAATTATTTTTCATTGCAAACGCATTGCAGAATAAGAATTAGTTTGCTGCGCATTTTGTTTTTATTTTCGTTTATAATTATTATTATTATTATATATATATTTTTTAAATTTTTTTTTTTTCGTTCATTAGGGCTGGAAATTTTTCCTTATGTACCATAAAAAGAAATACGTATACAGGACGTTGTACTCGTATGTGTATAGGCTTATAAAAATCATATTGTGTCTATGCTGTTCAACAAATAATTACAAGCAACGTTTTTTTTTTAATTATTCTTTTACTTGTTATATCGACACACTTGGGAAGCATATTTTTACCAAGTTGAACACTCAAACAAGGCACATCTATGCATACATACATATATATATATACGATTTAAATTCATATATATATATATACATATATATGTTTAAAAGAAGTTGAAATTAATATTTACTCAATATATACATACATGCTTATGTACAAATGCATATGTATTATGCAGTTCATACATACACATACATACTTACATACATACATACATACACGTATAGCAAATTATTTATAAAATAATTAACCCAAATTTTGATACGTTTGATAGAAGGCATAATCAAATTATGTAATTTTGTATCAGTGTGCATTTTAACACTGACAAGTAAATGCGTTCGCACATGCAACATGCAAGATGCAACATGCAACATGCATTTGCATTTACATTTGAATAGTTAAACATATACACACAAACATATTTATCTATATCTATATACACATATGCTATAGCAAAACATATTTAATGTCAACATATTGACAACAAGAACAACAATTTAAACCCACACACAGACACACACACAAATTACATTATCAGTGGATAAAGAAAACATTGTACGTATTAAAGAAAAATCAATAAAAATTTTTTTTTAAAAGTAAATTTCCTCTTTTTATTGGCTGATAACGCTGAGATAAAGTATTTTTGCGGCCACATTATAAATGAAAGCCAAAAACGTTTTTGGTTGTAGGATTTATATAGAAGTCAATCCATGGTAAAAAAAAAAAACCTTTTTTTTTTAGTCGGTTGAGGTTTGGCAAAGTTTTGGCGCTGGAAAGTTTGGATCCATCCGTCGTCGTCGTTGTCCTTTCCAATGCTTATTTTATTATTTTGGCTATGCAGCTAATTAGCTTTTGGATCCGAATTAATAATGCATACTTTCCGCTTAAATCGGGAACTGTTCAAGCCGGACTTAGGCATTTCCATACTTACAGTCCGCACTTTTTGTGCCTAATGCTGCGTTTAAGGATCAGCATGTGGGACTTCGATAGAGTTTGGCACGATGGCCACATTTCCAAAATAAACAATTTGTAAACTATTCAAAGTGACAGCTAACGGAACGCTTTATTATTTGAAGTCTCCTTAGCATATTGCTAGTTGCTACAAGTCAATTGTATAAAAAGACAAAATATTAATATTTTCCATGCAGAGATAAATCCCTTTACATACAAATGTTTGTAGAGAAACTCGCACTGCTCCTCTTGTTTCAGTAATTTTGAATTATCCATTGAGTATCATTTAAGTAAGTTATGTTAAGAAAAGATTTCCTTAACGCGTTATTTATAATATGATAAAGATACATATCAAATAACCAAGTAATAAATGCCAAATGTTCCACATGTTCTGCGCTTTGCGCATTGAGATTTCAGTCTTAATAATTGCATCTAAGCGAGCAATTTCTCAGCATAGTCGGCAATATGGAGAACGCCGTGTTCAAGTGTCGCAATGTGCAGATTGTTGCCGCACATGTAATCCTTGTTGATGTGTGCATTTTGGAGTTCGGAGATTAGCGTGGAGCAGGCAGCTGCTGGATCGCCACTGCCGCTGAGACTTTTCTAAAATTGCGCAAAATAATAACAATAATGACTTATCGAAGTTTTTGAAATATGAACGCAAACACAAACTTACCGCCCAAAACTCGTTGCCTGGCAGTGCGTTGCCATCCCAGGCGTATGTGACAATGGGCAGCATGTTCTCCGCGAGCTTGTCGGCCGGATTGCGTACAGCGATACGCACCTTAATGCCACCCAACGGATGCTTGGGCTCTGCAATGCTTGCGCCATCGTACAAGCCACCCCATTTGTCCAGATGGAACCACGAGAAATGCACGACGCCAATGTGTGTCAGACGCTCGCTGAGCGCACGCAATCGCTGCTCGAAGGTCTCCAAAAAGATCTCCTCCTGCTGCGGGGCCGCCTTCCACACGCCCAATCCAATGCCGACGACGTGGACATACGCCGGCTTGCCGGCTTTCACGGCACGCGCCTCCGCCTCCACTAACAGAGTGTCGAAGCTGATGGCAAAGCGCTTGCCCATGACCACCTTGTCAAAGTACGTGTTTCTGCCCAGATTAATGAAGCGCTTATTATCCGATGCGACGACGTCGTCATCAAAGCAAAAATCCATGGGCTCCATATAGAAGTCACGCCATATGCGACGGTAATCCTGCAGACGTCCCTTGCTTTCATTGTCACTGGCTCCGTAGCCCCGACTTGCTTTATTTTGTTCGGGCGTTATCATTATATCCTCCCACTCCATGACATTGCTACGCTCGAAACGGGCACCAATGAGACCCATGATGACACCTTCAATCTCAATCTTGGACTTGGACTCTTCCACTCTTCCGTTATTGAAGCGCGAGCCATCGTTGATGAACTCCGAGTGCGTGGACACATACAAAAGAGCCGACAGCTTGATTTCATCATAGCTGAGCACGTTCCTCAACAAAAGTGGAGCACGCTCGCTGCTGCTGCCAATTTGCTCGAAACCACCATGGCCCCTGCTTCCATCTAACAGAAGGTATGAGTCTGACGCGTCGAAGAAGTAGACGCAACGCTTGCTGAGCAAACGCTGCACGAATTCAGTTATCGAAATGTTTCCAAAGACACTCAACTCTTGGGCAGTTCCTGTCAGCCACAAATGGGAAAGGGAGGCACAATTATTATGCATACATATTTATACACATGCCAAGGCCAATCAGCAATCAACTAACCATACTTTTGCTTATGCTCCAGAAAGTTCATGTAGAGCAGGAGGGTCAGTTCGTGTATGATCGGATAGGCGGATGCAATCTGCTTCCGTATCATTTGCCTGCGCTCCACAGGTTGCGATTTCACCCGGCAGCTACTGGTGCCAAACTGTTGGCGAAATTGGGGCATACATTGGTTTCTAATTTCAGTGCGTCCAAGTACACTTACCTCAATTGGGAATTTTTCGGAAGCCGTCAGAAACTTGCCAAAGTCAACGTCATCGCCCTTTGTGCTCGGTTTCTTTATCTCCTTGCACATTTCCAATTGCTGCGTGGCAAAATAACTGAGGCAGGGCAGCTGGCCAGCATCTGGCCAAGTGTGCGTTGTGGTGCCGCATGTTGTGCCGCATGTTGTGCCCATTTTGTTAACTCTGAAGAGCAGCTTTAATAATATACGCATCAGCCGTATGGGCCCGTATTTTCTTTTTTGTTAAGCGCTTCGTCGAAAAGAAGGGTGTTACCAGCCCGACTTTCAACAAAACAGTGTTGGAAAGCGCCGAAACTGTGATAAAGAAAATGTCTGGTATGCAGCTATTGCTCTTGCTACGATAATAATGACAATTAACAATAATAATAATTAACTAGATGTAATTGAAAATTAAACAATTATCTACTCTGGGCAACAGTTTAGAACAACAGCAACCAAATTCACATCTCTTATTAGCTAACTTATTGATGTTCCAGTTTATTTGAATAATGATTTCGTACACAATTTGCTCGATTTGAATTTCGCCAGCACTGAAATAACAGGGTGAAACTTCAAGAAATATATGAATGTGTGCAATGTGTGTGTATGTATGGCTTGTAACGCAGTCTAATAATCAGCGGACAAATACCCTAGGGATCGCTGCACACATTCAGATTGAGATATGCTATCTTATATTAATAGCAGGCATGTATGCAGACATGCATTTAATACCAAATAAATATACATACATACATACATAGCTAGCTTGGTCATATCTGCAACAAGTGATTGTGCAGCGGAGTGAAATTCAATATACTCGGCCAAAGTACCGCTTGCTGGGTATGTTGGTAATAAAATGACGCTCGCAGGCGAATTTCTTCTTAAACATTATTGTGAAATCGATTGGAAAACACCATGTCAACATTTGGAGCTGAAGTGGATGCAATTTGGCCACCAGTCGATGAAGGTGCGGTGCCAAAAATTACCCCATTTGGCCGACGCCTGCTGGAGCAATGCAAATCGGTGAAGCAGCCCGATCCAGATGCCACTGTGGATATGTCTGCATTCATGCAGAGATCAACGGACTTTCCGCTCGAGGTGCGCAATTTACAGAAATTTATTGCCAATTGATTGGCCAGTTCAATTGCTAATCTTACAATATTCCCGCAGTTTGGCGTGGAGAGCTGCCGGGTGAGAAGTCAGCCGACGTCGCGTCATGAGTGCATTGGCAAGCAGATCTCATCCGCCTATCCGGTGATACACGAGCGCACCCTGGCCCTCTATCTGCAGTATCTGGAGCACAAGAGGCTGTACGGTAAGCTTTCTGGGTGGAGGAGGTATTTATAATTGCTTATTATTTTATTATTTATCCATCGACAGGCAACGTTGTGGAGTTCCGCATCTATCGCAATCTGTCACTGATCGACTTCGTGCAGCGTCTGCTGACCAAGCGCTGCGCCAGCTTCTTTGCGCGCAACGATAAATATTTGCTGATGAGCGGGCTGCGTGCAGCGGGTGGCTTTGAGCCGATTGGCACGCTCGAGGAGACGGCGCCGCTGTGTCTGCAGCATGTGCTCAGCTACGATGATATCAAGCTGTCGGCGCTACTCTCTGTCAGCTCGCACACGGAGTTCATCAATGAGGGCGAGCGCACCAATTGCGGCCGTGTCACGCGCAATCGCCAAAGCCTGGTGCCGGCTGGTGTGATTATTGGCCTGATTGGAGCGCGCCTCTCCCGCCGCAATCTAATGGAATTCCAGGACATTGTCATTGCGCGCACACAGAACACCAAGGAAAATGGCTATGGCCAGGCCTTGGATGCGTCCGCCAAAACTCGCGCCGAAGACTATCGCCGCTTGTGGCGCAACTTTTACGAGACGCGCGATCACATCCACGCCACTGTTAGCATCGATGGCCAGCGCTTTGGCTCATCGGCCAACAAGCAGGATATATTCGACAATCTGGTCATGAAGCGTCGCTATGCCATCAGCTTTGACCTGCTGCTGCTGGAGGCGCAGGCTCGGGCCGCCAGTGCCGGCAAGCCGGCGTACATCCATGTCGTCGGCTTTGGCCTGGGCGTGTGGATGGTGGCGCCGCAGCAGGAGCAAATCTTTCTCGAGACCTTCGAGCAGCGACTGCGCGCGTTGAGCAGTCGCCTCACCCACATTGGCGTCGTTCACTTCTCGTGGTTTAAGCTTGCCCGTTGTGGTGGCCTCCACGACGGCGCTGTGCTCAAGTGCTCCACTCATCCACAGGGCGGCATCCGTGTGCATCTGTCGAAACGGAATCCGGCGGCGAAACTCAGCCAGCCGGAGCATGAGGACATGCTGCTGGTTGTCTCCTATGCCTGGGATGGCAATGCTCTGCCTGGCAATGAGTTCTGGATGGTAAGTGCCTCCTACTCCCCCTCTGTTTCCTCCTTCTCAAATGTTTTGTGTTTTTATTTTTGCTGTTTGCAGAAAATGCTGAAATCAACGGGAGACTCCTCGACAGCCTGCTCCACGCTGATTACAGAGCTGCACAATCCGCATATTAACACCGACTACTGCAGTGGCCAGAATCTTCACATTGCCTCCCAGAAATACGGCGTCATCCACATTTCCGAATATGCGAAGCGCCTGCTGACAGACTCTGAATAAATATTATACATACGATCGTACGTAACCCGCGAAAATTCAAAATTCGCGATACTTTTTGAACACACCTCGTATATACAGTTGAAAACGGGCTTAACCGACTGCGTAATACTTTGATACCAATAAATAGTACCATCTAATAACAGCCAAGAAATGCCGATCTTTGATGCAAGTTCCTTGCCGTTAAAATTGGGCGTGGCAGAAAAACAATTGTTGGAAGACGTTCTAAGTAAACCACAATTTGCTGACTATAGCTTTAAAATGTTGAGAGATGTGAGGCCTTATCGATTTGCGACTTTCTATTTTGAAAAGTGAATTAATAAGTGAACAATGAATGTATTTAACGCCTTGCTAATTGTTTGAAGGCAATTCAATTCAATAATGTTCAAATTACAGCCGTATAAGAGCTAAGCACTAAAATCAATACACTGGCAATGTTCAATTCGCTCAGCACGCAAATTAGCGCAAATTCACTCAATTGACGCTACTTATAATGTGGCTAGTAGCTGTATGCTCAAAGTGGTAACAATGAACAATATTAGGGCACTTTATAAGTGTACAACAAATATTAATACGGGGTTGTGGTCTGGCTAAGCATTGCGTGTGTTCTAAATGAGTCGAAGAGTGTGTTTGAGTCAGATTGTCTTCGCCGGGTTCGTGACCTAGCTAGATGCCATAGTTCCACTGTTATGGCATACGTCACCTAGCTGTGTCACACACCAACGAAATCCATAATGTGAAATAATTTCGCGTGTTATTTGCTATAAATTCGAATTAATGGTTTACGAATAATTGCAATTTGTTTTCTATCTTCAATTCGAGCGAATATTGTGGACAACAAATATATATAGAAATAAAAGTAAACAGCACACAATATTAATTTTGTTTCGAGTTTTAGACTCTTTTTTTTATTTGTGTTTTTTTTTTGTTTTGTTGCTAATACAATTAAGATTTTGAGGTATTTATTGTGGATTAATGCTCGTAAAGGTAGAGCTTTCTATAAGTCCAGTTGGAATGCTATAGTAAATATCCTGTTCGGATACGTTTGGCTTTGCAACACAATCGTGGCTTTCGGCCTCTGCCTGACGAAGTCGGACTTTGTGGCACAATCACTATGGACTTAACAACCGTTTATCGAAGTAGTTGGACGTGGCACAGTCAGACAAGGCTGCATAGGACGATTCAATTTGAAATTGCCATGCCAATTTCCTGATAACCACGCGCCTTCTTAGCACAGTAATTCTTGCAAATTGATTCGAAATTGCGATCGTAGAACACTTTAAACCAATTGGCAAATTGATAGTTTTCCCGATAGTTTCCCTTGATCAGCTCCTGTATGTCAAACGAAACGTTCACTTGCAACTTGTTGAAGCCTTGCTGCAACAGCTTGAAGTTCTTGATATAATCTATTTTCTGATTGCCCATGAACTTCACATTTCTCATCTGAATCAAATTCGGAAACAATATGTCCATTAAATTGCAATAGGCAGCCCCCGTGCACAGATCCTTAATCCGGGACAAATTGCTCTCCAAGGTTTCATTGACCCAGTTGAGGATTTTAATTTTTGAAAACTGCTCCTTGGAATTCCGTGTGAGAACCACATTTTTAGCAATACGATATTCGTTGCCCATATTTCTGGAATTGGAATCAAAATGACCATTGGAATGAAGCAAGAGTATTGCACAATAACATTTACAATTTGTATGTTAATAAAAAAGCATATTTCTCATATGACCAACTTTCAACGCTAATTTTGTTGTTTCGTATCGAGAGAGAAGAGAAAATGAATTCAATTTGATGATTGACTTGAGAGATTCGAAATGATGTGTATTTTATTTACGAATCCACTTACTTATCATTACTTATGGAATTAGATAATATATATATCCTAGAAAGAGACCAATAAAAAGCAAGTTCATTATACTTTGTGTATGGTTACATTTAATCTGAACAAATATCTTATCTTATCGACTTCTACTGTGCTTCGCATATGCCAAACCAATGTTTAAAAATGTTTGAAATCAAAATTCGTTTTCTAAAGCAGACGCGATTTGGAATTCTATTTCAATTTTGGCAGTTAATGAATTAAAGTAAATGGTAAACACAATCGTATTTAATGTGGAACTCCTCTGAGGTGAACACCACATAGAATATGTACATTTGCGATGGAATCCCAAAGATAAATTCCATTTCTGGCTAAAAATAATCTCGCTCTTTGTTTGGTCAGGTGGCAAATTTAAGTTCAAATGAACATTATGAGCACAAGAAGTGAGTGTCTCTGTCGCTTTAATCGTTAGATAAACAAATTGCACAAGTCCCTACAAATATTTAATTTGGCTAAAATGCGCAGACACACAAATACACACAAATACACACACACACACACACACACACACACACACAATCACTGGGATAATTTGTAAACAAGCAATTCAATCTTCAATTGCGTTCGAGATATTCTTACCCCCTTCAACCCGTCCCCCATGACCTTCCCCAACTACCACTTTATATGCGACTTCCATCGGCTGACCACCCACATTATTGCTATGACTGCATTCAACAGCAACTAAATGAAGCTAAGCATTTCATGTGTTATTTGTACCACAAACAGTTTTTGCATTCGTATTTGCATTTGGCATTTGCTGTTATTGGGTTTGTATTTATACATTCTAATTGATTGCATTCATAACACAAATAAAGTTCTCAATTTGTATACCAATTGACACACACTCGGACAACTCCTATTCGGCCACATGAAGCAAATAAGAATGCTGTAGTCGAGTCGAGCTCGACTTCATTTTCACATGTGCCACATGGGAAGCACCACACAAAAACCAAATTCAACTCGTCTTTTGATTTGATTTAATATATTCACTACTCACCACTGTATATATATGTATATCCAATATAAAAAAAATAAAATAAATGAAAATAACGAGAATTTAAATAAATTTGATTGTTTGGTGTGCGAGATTTGTATGTTGACTGAATTCTTAAATAATGTGAAGCTGGTAAAATACTAAACAATGACAACTATCTCAATGCTAATGTTTAGCTGAAAAATCATATTTATTTATTTATTCAGTTTCGATTGCAGCAAGCCTTCAAAAGTATGCAATCTTCGACCGTCCAGAAATAGTTGGCATTTCTTGTTTTTATTATATTTTGATTGAATTAAATTTAAACAACTAGACAAATTGAATGTTTTAATTGCAACAGACAAACAACAAACATACACTGCGAGAGAAAGCGAGAGAGAGACAAAGAGACAGATGGAGAGGGAGAGAGAGAGAGAGCCAATTGATGGAGGCTGCTGCAAAATTACTGGTATTTGAAGCAACTAGCTTTAATCAAGCAAGTGACACGTATTTTAATTTCGAGAGTTTCGATTGGGAGCCAAGTGATTTGTATTCCGTCAGTTTTTGACGAAGAGTGCAAAATTAACCATGTCCCAGCCATGCCCTAAGCCAGCTTATATAGATAAACAGAAATGCAAATATCTAAAATGAAATGCAAAACCCACCAATGCTGTATGCTCAAAGTGGTAACAATGAACAATATTAGGGCACTTTATAAGTGTACAACAAATATTAATACGGGGTTGTGGTCTGGCTAAGCATTGCGTGTGTTCTAAATGAGTCGAAGAGTGTGTTTGAGTCAGATTGTCTTCGCCGGGTTCGTGACCTAGCTAGATGCCATAGTTCCACTGTTATGGCATACGTCACCTAGCTGTGTCACACACCAACGAAATCCATAATGTGAAATAATTTCGCGTGTTATTTGCTATAAATTCGAATTAATGGTTTACGAATAATTGCAATTTGTTTTCTATCTTCAATTCGAGCGAATATTGTGGACAACAAATATATATAGAAATAAAAGTAAACAGCACACAATATTAATTTTGTTTCGAGTTTTAGACTCTTTTTTTATTTGTTTTTTTTTTTGTTTTGTTGCTAATACAATTAAGATTTTGAGGTATTTATTGTGGATTAATGCTCGTAAAGGCAGAGCTTTCTATAAGTCCAGTTGGAATGCTATAGTAAATATCCTGTTCGGATACGTTTGGCTTTGCAACACAATCGTGGCTTTCGGCCTCTGCCTGACGAAGTCGGACTTTGTGGCACAATCACTATGGACTTAACAACCGTTTATCGAAGTAGTTGGACGTGGCACAGTCAGACAAGGCTGCATAGGACGATTCAATTTGAAATTGCCATGCCAATTTCCTGATAACCACGCGCCTTCTTAGCACAGTAATTCTTGCAAATTGATTCGAAATTGCGATCGTAGAACACTTTAAACCAATTGGCAAATTGATAGTTTTCCCGATAGTTTCCCTTGATCAGCTCCTGTATGTCAAACGAAACGTTCACTTGCAACTTGTTGAAGCCTTGCTGCAACAGCTTGAAGTTCTTGATATAATCTATTTTCTGATTGCCCATGAACTTCACATTTCTCATCTGAATCAAATTCGGAAACAATATGTCCATTAAATTGCAATAGGCAGCCCCCGTGCACAGATCCTCAATCCGGGACAAATTGCTCTCCAAGGTTTCATTGACCCAGTTGAGGATTTTAATTTTTGAAAACTGCTCCTTGGAATTCCGTGTGAGAACAACATTTTTAGCAATTCGATATTCGTTGCCCATATTTCTGGAATTGGAATCAAAATGACCATTGGAATGAAGCAAGAGTATTGCACAATAACATTTACAATTTGTATGTTATTAAAAAAGCATATTTCTCATATGACCAACTTTCAACGCTAATTTTGTTGTTTCGTATCGAGAGAGAAGAGAAAATGAATTCAATTTGATGATTGACTTGAGAGATTCGAAATGATGTGTATTTTATTTACGAATCCATTTACTTATCATTACTTATGGAATTAGATAATATATATATCCTAGAAAGAGACCAATAAAAAGCAAGTTCATTATACTTTGTGTATGGTTACATTTAATCTGAACAAATATCTTATCTTATCGACTTCTACTGTGCTTCGCATATGCCAAACCAATGTTTAAAAATGTTTGAAATCAAAATTCGTTTTCTAAAGCAGACGCGATTTGGAATTCTATTTCAATTTTGGCAGTTAATGAATTAAAGTAAATGGTAAACACAATCGTATTTAATGTGGAACTCCTCTGAGGTGAACACCACATAGAATATGTACATTTGCGATGGAATCCCAAAGATAAATTCCATTTCTGGCTAAAAATAATCTCGCTCTTTGTTTGGTCAGGTGGCAAATTTAAGTTCAAATGAACATTATGAGCACAAGAAGTGAGTGTCTCTGTCGCTTTAATCGTTAGATAAACAAATTGCACAAGTCCCTACAAATATTTAATTTGGCTAAAATGCGCAGACACACAAATACACACAAATACACACACACACACACACACACACACAATCACTGGGATAATTTGTAAACAAGCAATTCAATCTTCAATTGCGTTCGAGATATTCTTACCCCCTTCAACCCGTCCCCCATGACCTTCCCCAACTACCACTTTATATGCGACTTCCATCGGCTGACCACCCACATTATTGCTATGACTGCATTCAACAGCAACTAAATGAAGCTAAGCATTTCATGTGTTATTTGTACCACAAACAGTTTTTGCATTCGTATTTGCATTTGGCATTTGCTGTTATTGGGTTTGTATTTATACATTCTAATTGATTGCATTCATAACACAAATAAAGTTCTCAATTTGTATACCAATTGACACACATTCGGCCACCTATCACATGAAGCAAATAAGAATGCTGTAGTCGAGTCGAGCTCGACTTCATTTTCACATGTGCCACATGGGAAGCACCACACAAAAACCAAATTCAACTCGTCTTTTGATTTGATTTAATATATTCACTACTCACCACTGTATATATATGTATATCCAATATAAAAAAAAATAAAATAAATTAAAAAACCGAGAATTTAAATAAATTTGATTGTTTGGTGTGCGAGATTTGTATGTTGACTGAATTCTTAAATAATGTGAAGCTGGTAAAATACTAAACAATGACAACTATCTCAATGCTAATGTTTAGCTGAAAAATCATATTTATTTATTTATTCAGTTTCGATTGCAGCAAGCCTTCAAAAGTATGCAATCTTCGACCGTCCAGAAATAGTTGGCATTTCTTGTTTTTATTATATTTTGATTGAATTAAATTTAAACAACTAGACAAATTGAATGTTTTAATTGCAACAGACAAACAACAAACATACACTGCGAGAGAAAGCGAGAGAGAGACAAAGAGACAGATGGAGAGGGAGAGAGAGAGAGAGCCAATTGATGGAGGCTGCTGCAAAATTACTGGTATTTGAAGCAACTAGCTTTAATCAAGCAAGTGACACGTATTTTAATTTCGAGAGTTTCGATTGGGAGCCAAGTGATTTGTATTCCGTCAGTTTTTGACGAAGAGTGCAAAATTAACCATGCCCTAAGCCAGCTTATATAGATAAACAGAAATGCAAATATCTAAAATGAAATGCAAAACCCACCAATGCTGTATGCTCAAAGTGGTAACAATGAACAATATTAGGGCACTTTATAAGTGTACAACAAATATTAATACGGGGTTGTGGTCTGGCTAAGCATTGCGTGTGTTCTAAATGAGTCGAAGAGTGTGTTTGAGTCAGATTGTCTTCGCCGGGTTCGTGACCTAGCTAGATGCCATAGTTCCACTGTTATGGCATACGTCACCTAGCTGTGTCACACACCAACGAAATCCATAATGTGAAATAATTTCGCGTGTTATTTGCTATAAATTCGAATTAATGGTTTACGAATAATTGCAATTTGTTTTCTATCTTCAATTCGAGCGAATATTGTGGACAACAAATATATATAGAAATAAAAGTAAACAGCACACAATATTAATTTTGTTTCGAGTTTTAGACTCTTTTTTTTATTTGTGTTTTTTTTTTGTTTTGTTGCTAATACAATTAAGATTTTGAGGTATTTATTGTGGATTAATGCTCGTAAAGGCAGAGCTTTCTATAAGTCCAGTTGGAATGCTATAGTAAATATCCTGTTCGGATACGTTTGGCTTTGCAACACAATCGTGGCTTTCGGCCTCTGCCTGACGAAGTCGGACTTTGTGGCACAATCACTATGGACTTAACAACCGTTTATCGAAGTAGTTGGACGTGGCACAGTCAGACAAGGCTGCATAGGACGATTCAATTTGAAATTGCCATGCCAATTTCCTGATAACCACGCGCCTTCTTAGCACAGTAATTCTTGCAAATTGATTCGAAATTGCGATCGTAGAACACTTTAAACCAATTGGCAAATTGATAGTTTTCCCGATAGTTTCCCTTGATCAGCTCCTGTATGTCAAACGAAACGTTCACTTGCAACTTGTTGAAGCCTTGCTGCAACAGCTTGAAGTTCTTGATATAATCTATTTTCTGATTGCCCATGAACTTCACATTTCTCATCTGAATCAAATTCGGAAACAATATGTCCATTAAATTGCAATAGGCAGCCCCCGTGCACAGATCCTTAATCCGGGACAAATTGCTCTCCAAGGTTTCATTGACCCAGTTGAGGATTTTAATTTTTGAAAACTGCTCCTTGGAATTCCGTGTGAGAACCACATTTTTAGCAATACGATATTCGTTGCCCATATTTCTGGAATTGGAATCAAAATGACCATTGGAATGAAGCAAGAGTATTGCACAATAACATTTACAATTTGTATGTTAATAAAAAAGCATATTTCTCATATGACCAACTTTCAACGCTAATTTTGTTGTTTCGTATCGAGAGAGAAGAGAAAATGAATTCAATTTGATGATTGACTTGAGAGATTCGAAATGATGTGTATTTTATTTACGAATCCACTTACTTATCATTACTTATGGAATTAGATAATATAT